TCCTTCCATTGTAGCTGCCTTGGTATGCAGTATTTAAAGGCTAGCTTCAAACTGCATAGTCCTGTCCAAAATTAATCTTGAAATCATGGTAGTTGGAGCTGAAAATTAGAAGGTGCACTATAGATATCTTCTTCCCAAGGAATGACTTCAACTTTTCTATTATAAAAACTTTTTTCGTGTAGAATTCAAAGAAATAAAAAGTGACTATATCCATGGCTGCCTGCTGATCACTAGGACAGCTCTAAGGCTCCTGAAGCACTCTGGAAATACAAATTCTTTCATTCACACGCAGGCGTTGCAAAACCAGCCTTATAGCTACGTTTCAGAAGAATAAGTGGTGGTTGGGGCACACCACATGAGAAGCTCAAGGTCACACAGTTAAGGAGGAGCAGATCTTGGAACAAACCAGAACAAGCCTATAATTCCTGGTCCCTCTTGGTTGGCATTCTTTCCTATTCCTATGCTCGAGTCTGATGACTCTACAGCACTGTAAATACCAGCCAGTCCTTCAGTACAGAAGGACAGGGTTTGCTTTAATGCTATTTTTAGTGAAGCAGATCCCACTTTTAAATCTGCAACGCCTTCATTTTCAATATCGTGATTATGTTTAATGTTCCATAGGAAGATGAGGGGATTAGTATGAATCAGAAAGCACAATGCAGCGTAGGCAGTACCATGCTGCCTTCTGAAACACCGGCACAGAGCAAGCAGGAGCTTCGGAGGGGGCTCTGCACAAGGAAAAGGCATTAGGCAGCTGGACGTGTCAGCTGGGTGCCTCATCAGGCAGCTGGTGCAAGTGGAAGGTCAAGAGCACATTTACTGTTTACTGAGTTTGTAAATTACTAATTATTCAGCTCACTAAGCAAGGCAGGCTTATTGCCTGCGCGTGATATTCCCCCTCCTGTCAAGCCTAAGCACATATGGAAGAGAAAGAAATCTCAACTATATTTTGATAGATGGAAGTCATTAAAGTACCATAATAAAGGACGTAAAGAGCTATAATGGGTAGGTCACCAGTAAATATAAGCACACTTCTGTGTTGGTCAGAGAACAGGTCTATAAGTGCAGCTGAGCACTGCAAACATCACTCTGTCTCTGCAGAGAGCTCTGCAGGGGCTGCCTTGCTGACCAGGAGATGGTAGGATTTGGTGTCTGTGTCCATGGGAAGCAGGGGCCTAGGAGTTCAAGAGTGGTCTGCACTCACATTCCACTGTGGGAGACAGAGGCAGTAGCCAGGCAGACACTGCCTCGGAGCCAGGGAGATTTCAGAGGTACTGGCCAGCAGAAGCTGTGGGAGCTAGACCACAAAGAAGGAGACTGCCAAGCAAGGAAACAAGGAAAGAGTCTGCAACATGAGGGTCAGAAAAAAAATTTGTGTGGTGGGCCTTGAACCAAGAAAACAGATTTGTTCTTCCTGTCCTGTCAGCAAGAGAGATTACTTTGGAAATGAGCTACTCAAGAAATTGTAAGAAAGAGACCTGAGACAGAGTATGCCATCATCTCAACTTGCAAAAAGAAAGAACTCTGATAACTTTTAGTCTGCCTACATGGGGGCAGTCAAAGATGACTGACATAAGGATGCTCGTGGCAGCTTCAACTGAATAAACCTAAATGAGAGGAAAACATGATTAGGTTAGTCAAGTGGCCAAATAGGCATGTCTTCTTCTGCAAAAGTGTATCCTTGCACAGGGAAATATCTACCAAAAGAGGAATCAAAATGTGACACTTCTGGAGTGAACAGGACTAAAGGATACCCTCTCTACCCAGTCTTTGGGTATATGCAATATCTACCAAGACCCTTCATGAAGAGGGAACAAGATTTACTCTGTCCCGTACTTGACTGCTCAGACAAGACTAGAAGCAAAGATTAACAAGTTACCAGATCTTCCCAGGGTAAAGACAAGAAAGGTCAAGAAAAGAGGAATTAAATCAGTGTTTGGCATGGAGGGATGGAAACAAGGGCCAATTATAGCAGACAAATGAGGCAGTGCATTTCTCAGCTATTGGAAAAACAGAAGTAAATACTCCAGGTGGGAGGATGGACTTGAAAACAAACAAAAATAAAAAATCCTAAAATGCTTATGCCAGTGGAAGAAAACAAAGCAGCAATGAAAATCAGCCATTAAATCCAACAGAGAGACTTTAGATTAATGTGTTATTTCAGAAGTTCTACACCAAGGCCCAAGCATGCCACTCAACCCATACTTATCACTAGAAGCCAGGCTTTATAGAAAGTGTTCAGGCACTGGGAGCAGGGGAAGTGAGGTAATGCATTGGTGAGAGAGCAGTGAAGAGTATTCTGCTAGACATGCCAAAAAGAGCTGGTTTTGTGTCGGCTGCTTTCATTTCTCAATTCTGGCTGAGATAATTCTGCATCAGAAAAGGGATATTCACCTGAGATAACTTGAAAATGACAACACTACATAGCTTTCTTTTTTTTTCCTTCCTTATTTTTAGAGTAGGACTACTTTAATACAGACTTCCATGGAGACAGTTCAAGACCTTTTCAATCACAGTTTGATTTCCAGACCCTGCATTATCCTGAAAAGCATGAAATTGCATCTGACATTCTGAAAGATCTGTTTCAAAAGTAAGAGGCACTATCGGCTTCCCAAAGCACTTCATGCAGCTCAATTCCCAGTGGACAGATGGGAGCACCAAGGGGCTGCCAAAGCACATCTCAAGTCTTGCAGCAAACAGAAAATGCATATACATCTACTGCTTTGAGTATATGTGAAGATGCCCTCTAAGCCTTCTCAGTATCATTTATTATATTAATATAATATTATATTAATATAATAAATGTGTATCTAAATAGTTTTTGTAAGTGCTGTTGCAAGTTATGATCTCATGTCCACACCTGGTTGCCTACCATGTCACTGTGGTAAGTGACCTTGGTGAGGTTTAAATAGTCGTGTAAGGAGTGGATCTTTGAAGGAGATTTGAAGAACTCCCTGAGTCATGACGAGATGCTGGGCAGCACATACCCAGTTCTTGGAAAACATTGTTCCTACACATGACTGTGTACTCACAGGGTCATGGGTCAGCAGGACAGGGACCCCGTATGGGAGCTGACTCTGAGGGGCTGGGAGAGGAGGCAAGGCAGTGGCTCACACTCTGCCTGATTAAAGTTTTATTTTAACTCCTACTTTAAAAGCTGTCAGGTTATAAAATAAATAATATTCCCACGAAATTACTAACAAGAACTACGGGACAAATTAAGCTGGCAGAACTACTGTGGAATAAATATGGTGCAAACAGCAGAGACAGAAAGGCAGGCAACTATTTCCTGTGCACAAGTATGGCTAGAAACTGCTTCTCCCTTGTTTTCATCTTCTGTCAAGCACAAAAGGGCTAGGTAAAATCTACAGAGATAAACATCACACCTAGCAGGCAGTGTCCATATACCCCTGGAGTTTGAGCAGTATCTTGACTCCCTTGTGCTTTCCACATTTGTTTCTTTCTAAAATACATTTCAACTCATATTGTCTTTGGAGCTAAAAAGAATAATCAAGAAGTGAACTTGTAAGTGAAAAGCGGATGTAGAGATCCTCAGGCTGCTGAATAATGTGATTATGAATCTTCAGTTTTTGAAAGGAGCAACAAAATGTAATGCATTAGGTTGCAAAGACTTTAGCACACCTTTTCAGCAAACTATACATGTGTTATACTTTTGATCTGCCTTCTACAGAGGAAGACCAGTCACTCCCATCATAGACTGGAAGCTTCTTTTGAAAAAAAAGGGCAAGGGTGAGATTTGGAGTTTGCATGAACTGCTAGTGACCCCCTGTGCTGTAGTGCCAGAGGCTCTGCAGCTCTGCCTCTGTGCCTCACCCATCCCCGCACTGAGCTTTCAAAGGTCTGTTAGAAATCAACTGCAGAATAATTACTGCAGAGCTTGGCTCCAGATCTAACTTGGAAAGTGCTAAGTCATCAGCTCTACAAGATATAAATTATCACTTCTGGTCAGTTTCAGTGAAAAATATGAAAGCCACAGCATCTTGAAAGAGCATCTGGACATAACTTAAGTCCAGTCCAAATGAAACAAAACACATGATGGAAATGTGTAATGCTTTCTGCAGTGGCTTGTGATGCCTTTAGCACAAAGGGGCAGACAAGGATGGCTTTGAGACTGAGCAGTACTTGTGCCACCCTGTGTATATTTATGATCTAAACCTGGTCTGAAAAGCTAGAAAGACTTTTATAGTGGAACTTCTCCATAATCTTAAAACAAAACAATCTTGAACACCTTCCTTTTCAGAGTTCCATTCTTAGTACCTGACTGCAAGGTAAAAGTCACATCTAGAAAGAACTACTGGTCCAGGAGATTAACACACTGGAGAAAATATTTTGGTTATGAATTGCTATTGAACATTTTCTGACTCTCACAGTTACCAATATTCTCTAAGTGACTTCCGCAATAGGTTTTCAAGCTAAAGACTAAAAAAAATTAATTTTTAAAACCCCAGTCTTGCAAACCACTTGATGAATAGCTCATGTGAGCTGTTTTCATTAGAGTGAAACCAGACTGCTTTTGCAAACAGTTGTCCTAGAGTTCAACATTTGCCTTCTTTAAATACTTCTATTTGTCTAAGATTAGCTGTTTCACAAACATTTTTTGCCATGATTTCTTCAAACTTCCTTGCTAAAATACTGCTAAGATGAGAATACTGCCCATAGATAAAATTCTCCATTTTCTTAAAACAGAGACAAAATGTACTTTCAGTTATTTGTTGTACTGTGCTAATAGGATATTAATCAAACAATTAAGAAACATTTATCCAGCTGTTTTGCAGAAGCCAGAACTAAGTACCTCACAGAAAATGTTTCTATGTGGAAAGGACATACCAATGCTCCTATTTTATAGCCTAAGAGCAAGGCCTGGAGAGGCTGAACAACCTTGTGGAGATCACCCAGAGCCTTTGAGAAAAAGAAAAACATAAACAGGCGCTCCACTGGAACACCCTTCCTTCCCTGAATAAAAAGGAAAACTAACTTACCAAATGATCCTCCTCAAACAGCACCACTCAGCCACAGAACACTGATGCTTTTCGGATTCTTTTAGGAATATTCCAGGCATGAGTCTTTGTTTTAGCTTCTCTGACACTTCATCTAATTCCTGGATCCCAGTGGCATTGAGGTAGGATATATTTTGGCACACCACAAAAAGTCCTAAGCTATTGTGAAAGATTTACTTAGATAACTTTCTGTAAAAAATGCAAGAGTCATTACAAGTATCCCATTTACTTTTAACTTTGAAGTTAAAAAATCACAAATGCTTTAGCTAGCTAAATATTTATAATAGCTTGTCTTTATGCATGCAATGCATAATGCCTTCCAAGTACTTTAACAAGCTAGAAATAGAGAAACATCCAAAGCTGAAAGAGCCATATTTGGGGTGAAAAATGGAAATTGTTTAAAAACATCACATTCAGTTAGAAGAGAAATGACACATTTTAATGTATGGGCTATTTTGAGTCAAGCAGGCGGTAAGGATTATAGTTAGAATTTGGCCAGAATATCAGACCAGGATATCATACTTGCAAAAGAGAGCAGCTGTCAGTAATAAAAGTAAATAAGCAATAGGAGCCCCCAAAGAAAGAGACATCTGTACCCATGGCCAGTCTGGAGGCTGAGCTCAGGCATGACCTGTGCACAGCAATTCCAGTGCTCCTTCCTGCAGTGCCCCAGGTTTCCTGGTGAGGAAGCATTCCTTGAAATAAACACCTACTGCCCAAAATTACCCACAAGATGCCCAAGGCATATCGTGAAGTTGCACTCATTTGTCTTACAAAGCTCTTGGAACATGGCTGCTCTTCTTTCAGCATAGGTTTTCCCTCACTCAAGCAGCAGTGCTCCCTTTTCTGGATTTCTTCCCTGAACACCTCAGCCCTTTGATTTTAGCCAGCACAACAGCAATGGCAACAGTTGAAAGCCCTGGGTTCTTTCCCAGTCCGTGCCTACAATTGCTGCAGCTATAAAACATCTCTGTGAGAAGTTCATGATGCTGGCAGGAACAGCCACAAGATGGGTATTCCAGTGATGCTACAAGCTGTCAATATTGCCACTCGACAGCAGTTGGCAGCAAAGCTTGTCACTGCAGCCTGACCTCAGCCTTCACTGCTTGGGTACTTGCAAATCCAACTCCCACGTCACTAAATGCTATTTTCATTACTGGGAAAGAATGAAGGGGGACACATTTGCTCTGCAATCAATACATTTATCTGTGCAGTGAAAATTTTGGATAGGCACACAATTAATTGCCCAAAGTGCTTGAAAATTGGCATTAAATTCATTTTTATATATTCCATTAGCCAGTTTTCTGCAGTTTATCCATTTATGTATTAATTGTTATGTGTAGCTGCAAAATGCTTTATTCTCTATAAATCAGAAACTGCATTGTGGCATTTGTGCCCTTTGGTTTCTTCTCTGCTTTAAAGTCTGTTTGCCAAATGCAGTGGTTTTGTTTGCTGAAGTCTCATGATAGATGCAGACTGGTAATGCAATGAAAATGCATTTGATCACTTCTGTGGACTCCCAAAGAGCTCAAACCAGAAGGGCATGGGGGAAGGAGAGCAGGGAGAACCAGCATTTCTCTCATGTCACTCAGCTGGGCGCTGTAAAGCACCGAACGTTCTGTGACCAGCAAATAACACTCCCTGGTTTGTGTCTCAGTTTCAGCTCCAGCAGCTCCTGCCCCCTCCTTTCACCAAACAGACATGCTGTCTAAAAGCTGTCACATGCTTTCTTCCATGTATAACAGTTCTGGAAATTTTCCTATCTGGGTTGCTCAGGGGTCACAAATGAGATCCTAACCTCTTTCTACAAGGTTTTATACAAATTTACTGATCAGAAGCTAGAGTCTAAAGTCAAAGAAACTGTCAAGGAAAGAAATGTGGTGTTATTCTTCACCCAAGTGAGACAGAGAATGACACTTCTTTGGGGTGAGTCGCCTTAGCCTAGATGGCCCATGAAGAAAACACACTACAGAAGATATAGACAACCTGGGGCAAAGTTTCAGAATTTGAGGTAGATTTATTCCAGTTCAAGGTTATTATTACTGTAATATTTTTTCCTTTCCTTTCAGCTCTGAGATTTTCACAGAATACCTAGTATCAAACCAAGACAACTTGCCTAGGATAATAAAAGGCGTCATTTCCCAGAAATGGGAGACAATTTTCTGAATCCTCACCTAGTACCTCACCACATCTTCCTTCCTTATTTCTGCATCTTTCAACACCACTTCCAGTATATTGAATGCAACCTTGGCTCTGGAAAAAAAAAATAAAAAATCTGTTGTTTAGAGACAGAAAAGCTCTATACAGGAGTCTGTAAGTGCCTACCCTACCTTTTTCTAGTCAAGATACACATCAAGGGCTCTGAAAAGGATGGAAAAAAGTACCTGATATAACTTTCAAAGCTATGTGGCTGACAGAAAACTGCCCCATAATAGAAATATGATAAATATGTACAGCTACAAGTGAGCAGGTCTTGGGAAGCACACACCTGACAAATCCCTTGCAATCTTCATCTAAACTATTGTAGGTTCAGATGCACATATTCATCCAAGACTCAGCATATTCACTCTGGTTAAAACAGAAAGGCAGCTACCATGCCAAAGGGAGATGCTGTGAACTGCTCTCGGCTGGGAGTCTCATTTATGCAGCTACAGAAAGGCTCTGAAAAGCTGCACATGAACGTGAAACACAAATGCTAACAGGGTACAATGAGGCTGATCTCACAAATGTCTCATCAATAAACATCATAAAGGACTTGCATAAAGAAACAGTACTCCATCTACACTATAAGCAAACCATAACAAATAATGAAAAGATAAATAGGAGAGCAATAAGGAAGGCAGGCAGAGAGCACAAATGTGACCACTGAAACACAAATAGAGCAGCAAGGTTACTGGTGAAAACAGGATATTTTCTATATAGGAAATTGTGCATATCTTTCTGCTACAATAGACATCAGTACTGGGGTGAGGATTAAAACACATAAATTTATTCTTTTATCAAGATATTGGAGTACAGGGAACCAAGTCCTTTGTGTTTGTAAAGAGTCACTTGGGAAAAAGTAATTTGAATTTATTTGTAAGCGAAGCACTTGCACATCTCACATTGCAATGTGAATCAAAATTCAAAGAGCTTTTATTTCTGCAGTGTAACTTACTTCAAAAAGCCTCTGTTCTTGAATGAGTATATCCACACAGTCCATTTTGGTTTGTGCAATCAATGTTAAATTCACCTGACTAGATTAACTGTCTGAAGCACCTCCACACAGACAGACAGTAAATAAGGAAGAGAGATGCACCATACACAAAGAAAAGAATAAGACAGGGCTACAAATCTCATTTTATCTCATGCTGCAGGCAAAGCTTGTCTCTAAAGGTATCAGGTGAGTGCAAATGGAGTCCTTAATTCATCCAACAAATTCACAAACCACATTAGCACAGAAAATGAATAACCTAGCATTCATATGAAAAGGCTATTGAAAAACTAAGTTGAAGATAAAAACTGGAACCTATTTATTCTTGAGCTCTTATAGGACAGGCATTTTCTTTAATTAGAAGCAAGCATCCACGTAACAAATGCAACCTTGTAACTTTTAATAGCTGGAGCATAATCATAATCAGTTGTGATGGAAATTCCAGATTGCATGCTCTCATCTCTTGACCTTGGAGTCACCATGTTTCTCCCTATCTGTAATTAATACCTTTGTATTAGGGGGAAATGACTTTGTTGGGAAGGTCAATAAATACAGGCAGTCTAACGTCCTTCACACTGTCACAAGAGCCACAGGTTGAGTCTGTGTTTGAAGCTGCTGCAGCCCAGCAGCTGCACAGGCAGGGCTTGTCGTTCTGGGCAGAAAGGACAGACCACAGAAGGCCAGGCAGGTGCACACCCCATTTGCAAGCACAGTGAGGAGGGCACTGGAGAGGTGCCCTGCACAGCTCCAGGCAGCTCCTGGTCATGGACTTCCTCCTGTCAGCAAAGAAAGGGATGGGATGCTGGTACACAGAGCCTGCTGGAGATCAAGGCTGTAATTCAACTGCCTTTCAGATGTCCTGTATGTAAAACTGGAGCTACACAGCAGCTGCATAACAAATATTGATCTTCTAGCACCAAGTGGTGGTAGAGCAGAACAAACTGCATTAACAAGCTAAGAACTAACATGGTCCAGACCTTTCTCCTTCAAATTGCTCCCTTTGTTCTACACATTTCACAAAAAGGAAAAGCCAAATATTTACATCTTGTTGGAGAGAGGGAGTTGTGTCCCTCTCTGCTCTTCTCCAGGCTAGAACTGACTGATGACTCCTCCAGCTCTGGCTGGAGGCCATGGCAAGATCAATTATGTGGGACTGCTCAGGGTTATACCTGAAGAAACTACATTTTACTTTAAAAAAAAAGTCCCACAAACTCTAAGCACCCCCACAGACACAAAAAGAGAAGGAAAAAGGTTAGAAACCAAATCCCCGCAAACAACAGAGCAGTCTCTCTGCATTACAAAAGCCAAAAAAAAACAAAACAAAAAGTTTGCATCCCCTACCCCTGCATTCCTCACAGGTCAGAATTGTTGGGCTGCTAAAAACAACAAAAGGAAGCAACAAGTTTTGCCTTTGAGCTGCAAAAGAAATGCTCTTGGCCTTCAGCAGCACTTACTTGGGCAAGAGCTCAAACTCTGTTCTGAAAGACCAGAAGAAAGAGGAGCAGGGTGATGCGAGGAGTAAACTCAGATAAATGCTGATTGCAAGATACTGAAATGTTATTTCCTGGAGTAATTATTTGCCTCAGTGAGTACCCAGAAATCAGCTACACTTCAGGTAGTTTGACACTTCACACAGCTTTGTGTAGCACAGCTCTCTGGAGAAGCTACATACTTAGAGCTCTAACATGCCTCTCCTCTTTATGGCATCATTTAGAACCTTTTATTAGCCATATTTTAAAAATCCCACAAGATTTCTTCAAACCTGGTCTTTATTTGCCTTGCAACTTTCTGTCTGTAAAATAGGATGCAACTTCCTATCTGTATGATATCTGTAAGAAAACATTATAGAATCCTTTTTATGCAGCCTAATCTTCTGGGATAAAATACAAGCTCTTTCAAGAACCAGAGGCACTCAAACAAACCTCCCACCCCTGCCCTTGCAATCACACAATAACATCTGGGAACATGGTGCTCTGCCTTTCACAGAGAATTTCACTGTTAAAGAGCTTGTTTTAATTATTTTCC